ACATCATCAGTACCATAAGAGAGACTAAACTCTGTGAGGCTTTTAGTTTCGTGGAAAACGATTTTTCACTGAATAGACTGCATACCCGGGGTATTCCAAATCTGAACTGCAAGACAGGAAAATCATGCGGGGGCCACCCGTCGTTACATCGACGTTACTAGCCTAAAAATACTTGAGGACACAGGAGGCGATCGGACCACTTATGGTCATGTCTGATATATGACATAGATGTTCTTTGAATGAGCAATGAACAAAGCAGTCGATCTTCACTATGGAAACCAGACCTAAATGGTTGATTTATGTTTATGTTTTGAGTATTTCCCTCCAAATTTGCATTCTGTAGAACTAACATCTTAAGCTACAAATCTCAGACACCCAGTTCAAGCATAGAATTCTAAAGCAGTTGTATGAGGGCACCACAAAACGGTTACAAAAGTAACATGTAGTTCAGTGTGGGTGGGTTGAAGTAATGCATACATCGTTTCGTTTCCACAAACCGTTGATAAACTTTTGACACCCCAGGGAGGGGGAGAGCACTCCAGCCGACCCGGGGTGCTCCAGCAAACGGAAGATCGTCGCTAGCATGCAGAAAAATGACAACTGACAATTCTACATGCAAGACTTACTTTAGCCGGCATTAAATAGAAAACTTGTGCTACTCAAAACAAATGACTAAAGATAGCCTGATTTTTTCTTAATACATCGTTGCCGAAGTCTTTCATTTCAGCTTTAATTAGTACTACTTCAGGTTTGGGCACCTACTTAACTTATTTTCGAATAAAAATTAAAATATTATTTTTAATAAATATAGTATTATTTATTATTATATAGATTAAAAAAACATAACCATGTATTAGGTGGGTTGTACCCTACTAAGAAATTTCAGAAGCGATAAACACATGATGGTGACACAAAGTGCCACCATGCCAATGAGGATCACCCGTGTAGAGGTCCTGGAAACTAAACCCCGTTAAGATGTTACATTAGGTACTTCAGTCAAATTTTTAAAATGCCCTCTACACCAATAAAACCAGCACAGTTAGATAGCTGTAAACAGCCTCTTTCCAATGGTACCTCATTTAGGCTTGTATGTCATTTCTGAGCTGAGATATGTAGGTTTTTGTGGAGATGAGATGTAAGAAACAGCCCCTAAAACTTGTGACCCAGAAACAATGAGTTTTTTTCTGCGCAGTCTGCGCAACCTACTGCGCAGTTCTGTATCGGCTTTGTTGACATTGGACTGTCATTGGACAAGATGGCAGGCAGTGAGACTCAGCTCACTCAGCCGCATGCGATTGCCTAAAAATGTCACTGTAAATCTAAACAGCCAGAGTCGGGGAAAAAAATTTAATATACAAATGTAAAATTGGACGGAGAATTCAATTGTAACTAGCATTACCACAACTGGTAATGTTTAAGCCTGAAGCCAACCTCGAATTTACCGCTATTTTCAATCAAACTGATAGACTAACAGAAAAACAGAGAATGTCCGGCTGTCGTAGACATGCGCTGTTAATCGGGTTCCTTCCCGCCGTTTTCAGCTATTTAGAGTGGGTGAAAATCACACCAATGGCAAAATTTCATGAGAGATTAGGACCCATCCCGAAACCCCAGCCGACATTTCTGAAACAAGTTTTAAACGGTTTCTATGGTAACGGAAATTGTCGAAAAGATAGCAAATTTCCGAAACTGTAGTCGCTAGTTACATATTTTGTTTATGCCCAGGCTATACTCAGAGCCTCCGGCAAGAGCCAGGGTGGGGCTTAAAAAAAAATTGCATTCCACATGGAGGCGATGTGTGGCTTAGTATTAGCCCCCACTTCTCCACCACTTCAAATTTTCTAGACTGCACCTGCAGTGTGGTGGGGGTGGTGTGTGTGTTAAGGGGGGGGTGGTGGCTTAGTGTAACCTTGAATTATTGAAAGCCACGCTTAGAAACTGTTTAATGCTACCAATAAAAGGAAGTAACAAACTTTGCATATTACAATTGTGGGCTATCCTCCGAATAACGGTCCCAAATTATTGAGGACGAAAATATACCCTAACAGTGCCTCAGTCATGTGTCAATTGCGAACTTCTGGGGACTACTCGGCCACCGCCGCATGCGAACTTCCAGGGACTGTACCGCCACCGCCGAGAGTATCCCCCTATGTAGCTCACGTGGCGTGGATTGGGGCTTAACTAGATGGCTGGGACTCACAAACAAATGAAATGAAGGAAGCTGCGGGAAATGCGGTAGCTGCTGCTCGTGAGTCCCAGCCATCTAGTTTAGCCCCAATCCACGCTGTGTGCGCGGCGTGGGGGGATACTCTCGTCGGTGGCAGAAGTGCGCAATTGACACGTGACTGAGGCCCTGTTAGGGTATATTTTCGACCTCAGTAATTTGGGACCGTTGTTTGGCAGGATAGCCTAATTGTGCAAGAGCTTTTTTCTTGTCCTCAAATTAATTGGACATGATCACCAACCCGTTTGCTGGGATTTGTGATTTGTGTGAGGCCTTGTCATGAGCTGTCTTTTAAAAAATCACTCACAACCGAATAATGGTGATGGCAGGCATTATTAGCGATTCTACTGAGGTCCAGGAACACGCCAGGCTAATTACCGTCATCATTACCTCCCCGGAACTCAAAACAGTAAACTTATTATCGTCATCAAATGCCTTGCCCGCTGGTGTGGATAGTCATGCCTCTCCACAAAATAATGCGATCTTTAACTCTGTAACATTTCATTTGCTGCAGCCTAGGTCCCTCCATGCATTGATGACAAAAAACTGTCAAGAACCTTTCGCATTATCTTCCTCTTGTCTCTTTTTCCACAACCACTATAGAACTTTTGTCAGTTGATGACACCATGATTGACTGACAACACAAAAACGTTTAATGGTATCAGCTTTTGACTGTTAAAAAAAGAAGAGTTTTTTTGGTAAACTAATAAATATATTATGAATAATGCATCCCTGCTGAGACCAACATTTAAAAATTTCAACTGATTGTTCATCCTAAGCAAGTTCATGTTAATGAGGTTTTACCTGTAATTTAGCCAGCTGGGAAACACATTCCAGTGAAGAAGACTGCAGTGATTTAGAGCCAGCTGAAAGGGTTTTTGATGACCAGCTCAAGGGAAGAATGGGGCAGGCTTGGAAGCAACAACAAAGGGTGTCAGAGCTTGACATGAGGATCTGCACTACATTGGGCAGTTAATGGATGCAGACTGTTCCAGAGCAAATATTGTCATTTCTTCTTCTTCTTCCCTGTAAACTCTGGCAGAAAGCTCTGATAATTGTTTGTCTATTTCTGAACTTTAGTCTTGCTCCAAAACTTAGGTTTTGCCTGCATATCCTTTTTACTGATGTGGCCTGTTTGTAAGCAGACTGTTCTTCATCTCTCAGACTGATGAACTCCAGCTTTCACTAGCTCAGTAAGACATATTTCCATGACGTGTGTGCGTGGCATACTGATTGCTGTGGTGCGCCTCCTGGCTGGTTGCCTCCGACTTCAGCTAATTGTTTTTCTAGGGTAGACTGTGATTATACTCGAGGAGAGTAGGCTCATCCATTCGTCTTTCGCTTTAACCTCGTTTGTTGTCCCATCCAGTTTCCCGCTAGGGGTTGAGACCCCAATTTTCAACTGGATTGCTGGGAAGAACAGGGTCCACCACATAAAGGTGAGGTAGGCTTGAGCAAGAGAGGCTAATAGACATTAGGAGTCTTGTATTGCACATTATTTGCTCCATTAGGACCCCTAAATCAGGTATCAGCCATATGCACCAGTGGAAAGGTTCTCCAGACAGCAGAGCATGTACTCCAGGACTGCACCAAATTTGTAGAGCACTTTTGGTTTATAACCGTGTGCAATGACGCTGGTTCACATCTCCCGACTTTACCTTTACCTTACTTTTAACATAGGTGGGTCTTTCTAGTCACACTCTGGATCACCATGGGTTCTCTGATCCCATTGCCTCCATATATAACATTATTGTCTGGAAAGACGGAAAGCTGCCAACATGTATTAGTACAGTAGAACCTCCTTAACACAGACACACTTAGGACGAAGACATGGTTAACATGAACACAGTTTTTTTCCAGCAGGATAAACAGAATTTTGTTTTCAAAACCCAAACTCTTTATTTTTCAGTCTGTTAGAATTTGTGTTAATGTTTTATGTGTTCATGATTTTGTAATGCCCATGTCAAATGTGTTGAGATGATAATAGAATAACATTAAATATATTAAAATACACTATGTAGAAGTGTTTTGGTTATGTCTAGGCATTGATTATATTTAACGTGTGCACTCTGCTAGGGCTTAGAGGGTAGTGAAATAGTTTCACAATGCAATACTCTATACCAGAGTCCAGTTCCTGCAGTGGACACTTTAGAAAAGGACTTCTTGTGGCTTTCAGACAGTTGTATAAGAGTCACACCATGGAAGAGATAAGGACCTCACAAAGTAATATTCCCAAAGTTAGCAGTGGATAAATTGCAGCCAACCTGCTACGTAGAAATAGTCCTATAATTTTATCAACTTGACTTCATTTTAAGTACCTCTCCCGAACAGTCCTACCTTGTTCCAAGTTAGGCTTACCACGACTGACTCCAGCTGACGGGCCGTGCTGCTGCGTTACGCAGCGGCTCTCAAACAAAAATTAAACTATTTTCGACAGTTGTGAGGAAAGACAACTGAAATTTTAAGTTTCTACATGCCTTCTTTAATAATTTTAAAATTTTTAGCCAACTTTTCTTGATTACCTTGATTATTGCCTTTGCACCCCTGGCATACGCTCACGGCACCCTAGGGTGCCTAGGTACCCAGTTTGATAACCGCTGCTTTAATGCATCGTTAGCTGGAGCTGATCTTGGGCTGACATATGGCCAGTTTTTGTTAACACAGTTGATACTGGTTTGATCAATGTACATTTGTTTGCAGGGCTTTGTTCTGGTGGGAAAGGTGCCAGTGTTCAATACAAAGCTTGCTTACCTCAACCTGGAGTTCTCACTACAACATGAGCCATCAAAATCTAGATGTTTGCGTCGTCATTGAAGATGGAGGTATGTATTTTTGATCTTATTTCTTTACATTTATGTTCCCCCAACTTTGGGGAAAAACGAATAGGCCCACTACTACCCCACATAAGCATGTCATAAAAGACAGACTAGTTAGGGCTTTTTGGTAAAATCGGAGGTGTTGGGCCAATAGGTGCAGATTGATCACAAGACAGCATGCCAACCTTTCAGATGGAACGCAGATCTCATTTCATGTCAGAAGAGTATTGATCACAAGACAGCATGCCAACCTTTGCGATGGAATGCAGATCTCATTTAATGTCAGAAGAGTATTGATCACAAGACAGCATGCTAACCTTTACGATGGAATGCAGATCTCGTTTCATGTCGGAAGAGTATTGATCACAACACATCATGCCAACCTTTACGATGGAATGCAGATCTCGTTTCATGTCGGAAGAGTATTGATCACAACACATCATGCCAACCTTTACGATGGAATTCAGATCTCATTTCATGTCGGAAGAGTATTGATCACAACACATCATGCCAACCTTTATGATGGAATGCAGATCTCATTTCATGTCAGAAGAGTATTGAGACGTGTATCTATTGGCCGTCATAATTACAAAATCACAGAACTAACTAACTGATAATGAGAGGAGATTTAGATATGCACTTCCTCACCTGAGTTCCTGGGCCCTATAATGGGGAAAACAAGAATAGACCCACTGCCTCCCAAACAAGCATGTTGGCTAATTGGGAGTTTCCTTCAAAGTCGGGGTGAAAGGAAAAACCAGCTGCAGACAGATAAGCCAGTAAAACAGATGTACATGCAACACTCAGGCCATGGCACAAAGCCAGAGTCCACAGGATAGAACGGAATGGAGGCATAGACTGCGAGCCCTATGTGACATGCACTGTATGATGCAGAAGAAAATAAGGAATGAATAAATAAGGCTGCAACCCACACAAGGAACATTGCACTCAAGACTGGCTTCTTCAAATCATTCTTTGATGTTCTTCACCTACAGGCAACACTGTCTTCCTTCTAGATCAATGGCTCTCAACCTTCTTAATGCGGTGACCCTTTAAAACAGTTCCTTTGTTGACCCCTAAACCATAGTTATTTTTTTTGCGATGGTCTTTGGTCATCCCTGTGAAAAGGTCGTTCAACCAAAAAAAAGGGTTGATACTCGCTGTCCTAGATGCTTGTGCTGTATTGTTCTCTTCAGTGTCTTTCATTAGGAAGCTAATATCATATGTCTGCAGCATTGAATGTTGAATTAATAATCAACATCACAGCACTTGGGACACCCCCATAAGCGCTCCGTCCCTATCTTCAGCAGCAAGTAAAGAGTTCCATTTCTGATGGCAACAGTACCTGTCTGATTGTATATCCGTCTCACCTTTTCCCTGAGTGTTGAGCGCCGGCCAGATCCCCTTATAACTCCTCACAGTGCCATTCTCCTCAGACCGTAATGATCTGTCTGTGCCTCAAAACTGTCAAGTGGTGCAGAACCGGCCAATCTGACTTCTCATTTCCCAACACACAGCGTAACCTGGAGAAAATATCCAAAGGATGCTAACTACCAGGGACCTCTGAAGTGTTGCTTGCCACTACACAGAGTATGCCTGTCTCCACCTTTCTCAACATGCTCTGTGAGTCAGATACAATGACGGCATGTGTGTACAGTTGATTCTCAAGCCAGCGGAAGGCAGCAGTGACTGCCTCCACCTCCATTCTTAAACTAGACGTGATATCATATGCCAGGCTTTGTGTCACCAAGCGACGTCCTTTCGCCTTCGCTATGAACCCCCATGCACCTCGTCTGCCCCTCAACACAGAGCCATCTGTATAAACAAACACATCATCTGGGTGGGAATTTTCATGAATCATTTGTTGAACTTCTGATTCTGTAGCACCAGCTCCGCAGCATTGAATCTTTCTGTTATCTCATTAGTATTGATCTCATGGCTGGTAACGAAGCAGAACTCAAAGAACTTACTATAAAAACTGGAGACAGTCTGTGGTAAATATGACATGGAAATTAATGCAGGAAAAAGCAAAATACTGGTAAATAGCCATGATAGTCAAGTACCTACCAACATAGAGTTAAAAGGGGGAAAAATAAAAATTGAAACCTTTAAATACCTTAGATCCCTCTTATGTAATATTGGGATTGAACAAAAAAGATCAGGACAAGATTTGATATGGCAACAGGTGTGATGTCACAGCTGAATATGATTTGGAAGAGCAAAATCAGCATAGCCATACAGGTCAATATATGCAAACCTTTTTTTCCACTCATCTTTCCAGTTGTCATAATGTTTTCCTGTGTCTCTCTTCTCATTACGTGGCCAAAGAACAGTGTTTGTCTCTTTCTTATTGTTGTATATAGAGATCTACTTTCATTAGCTTTTTTCAAACAATCATTGTTAGTTACTCTTGTCGTCCAAGGTATTCGTAACATTCGTCTCAGAAACCACATCTCTGTTGCTTCCAAATTCTTCTTAATTTGTTATTGACATTCCAAGATTCACTGCCTTACAGCAGAACAGGTTCTATGTAACATGTTAGCACTCTCTTTCATATCTATATTGTATATATTATCTATATTAAAATATAGTTACAACCAGTTTTTTTTTCTGGCGGTACGCTAAAGGTGTGCTAAAACCAGCACATTTTTTTAGGCATCATTTGTTTTCATCACTACTGTAATATACAGCTTTGTGGGGGGGGGGGGGGGGGGGGGGCTGGTTATGACCCAGCCCTGAAGGGGCAGCAAGAAATATGCTGGAAAACAAAGGCTGCCAACATGGTATTACATTTTTCATTGTCGATTGGTCTTTAGAAAACTTTCATGAACTCAATCCTCACCGGAGCTACAGAGTTCGTGCATCCATGTTGAGATCCGATGCAGCAGCACCTACAAGGTACAGAAAGAGGAGAGGACAGTATGATAGAAGGCGGGCAGGCGGGCAGACCAATCTACATGACCTAGTAGTAAAGTATGGTGAAGCACATCTATGCCGCCTTCGAGTCCGAGATAGGAACCATCATAACCAACTCCTCATGAGAACAACTTTATAGTGGCTGCCGCATCAGAGGACTGATCACCCAAGACAAAAGCCAATGTGCAATGATGTCAGTTGTGATAACATAACACCCTAAAGGATGGAACTTTTCCCACTCAGTTAACATCTTGTCACAAAATGATGTTTGTTGAAAACTGTCTAATTTATTGAAATCTGTTTTGTCACCATTTCTTGTTTGTTGAAATCTGTCTTGTCACCATGTCTTATTTGTTAAAATATGTCTTGTCACCATGTTTTATTTGTTGAATTATGTCTTGTCACCATATTTTATTTGTTGAAATTTGTCTCGTCTTCTTTTTAACGTTGCTGGTCCGATGTCCGCTAGAGTCTCTCCTATAATCATTCAATTTTTCTTGAGTAGTAGCAGTCAAATACACCACTGCAGGCTTGCTAGGCCCTACGCGTTGTGAGGCAGGAAACAATCTGACCTGGTTGGTGTCATCACCGTGTCTTATTTGTTGTAGTCTGTATTATCGCAATGTCTTTTTTATTGTCACCATTTCCTTCCCATTGTCAGTGATTGTGTCCTTAAACTGACTGACGTTTGATGTGTTTCTGAATTTTAGATTTAACCGACGATGAACCAGGCCCAAGTCGATCAGTATTCAGACCATCTGTGTGCTCTATGGAGGCCGCCTGGTTTAACCAGTCATTTCAGCGTCCCTCTGACCAAGTCATCAACAGTGATATTCCGCAAGATTGTTTGCTGAAGTTCCAAGAGCTGATCTGGAATTCTCCTCATGATCGCATGGTCCCTGGATATGGTAGGCAGCTGGGAATAGTCATCTTTGTTACCTGAACTTGTTCTAGATTTTTTTTTCTGTAATTGCTAGTGCACTGGTCATGGCATATAGTATCTTTCTGTGCTTGTACATTAGTCATGGCACATTGTATCTTTGTGTGCTAGTGCACTGGTCATGGCATATAGTATCTTTCTGTGCTTGAACATTAGTCGTGGCACATTGTATCTTTGTGTGCTAGTGCACTGGTCATGGCATATAGTATCTTTCTGTGCTTGTACATTAGTCATGGCACATTGTATCTTTGTGTGCTAGTGCACTGGTCATGTCATATAGTATCTTTCTGTGCTTGTACATTAGTCATGGCACATTGTATCTTTGTGTGCTAGTGCACTGGTCATGGCATATAGTATCTTTCTGTGCTTGTACATTAGTCATGGCACATTGTATCTTTGTGTGCTAGTGCACTAGTCATATGTCATATAGCATCTTTGTGTGCTAGTGCACTGGTCTTATGTTAAATAGCATCTTTGTGTGCTAGTGCACTGGTCTTATGTTAAATAGCATCTTTGTGTGCTAGTGCACTGGTCTTATGTTAAATAGCATCTTTGTGTGCTAGTGCACTGGTCTTATGTTAAATAGTATCTTTGTGTGCTAGTGCACTGGTCTTATGTTAAATAGTATCTTTGTGTGCTAGTGCACTGGTCTTATGTTAAATAGTATCTTTGTGTGCTAGTGCACTGGTCTTATGTTAAATAGTATCTTTGTGTGCTAGTGCACTGGTCTTATGTTAAATAGTATCTTTCTGTGCTTGTGCACTGGTCTTATGTTAAATAGTATCTTTCTGTGCTTGTACATTAGTCATGGCACATTGTATCTTTGTGTGCTAGTGCACTAGTCATATGTCGTATAGTAGCTTTTTGTGTAAGTGCACTGGTCTTATGTTATATAGTATCTTTGTGTGCTAGTGCACTGGTCTTATGTTATATAGTATCTTTGTGTGCTAGTGCACTGGTCTTATGTTATATAGTATCTTTGTGTGTTAGTGCACCAGTCATATGTCGTATAGTATCTTTGTGTGCTAGTGCACTGGTCTTATGTTATATAGTATCTTTGTGTGTTAGTGCACCAGTCATATGTCGTATAGTATCTTTGTGTGCTAGTGCACTGGTCTTATGTTATATAGTATCTTTGTGTGTTAGTGCACCAGTCATATGTCGTATAGTATCTTTGTGTGCTAGTGCACTGGTCATGGCATTTAGCAGAGCTATTCGACTAATTTTGCTCAGGGGCCAAAATTTTGAAAATTGGTATTGGCACGACCAAGCATAAACAGCTCATTAATATAGTACAGTTGGCAATGATCCACTTGCCACTATGCATTTGCGGGCCAGATTTGGCCCACAGGCTGCCAGTTGAATAGCCCTGGCATATAGTGTCTTTGTGTGTTAGTACACTGGTTACATTTTGTGTGTCTTTGTGCGTTTCAGACAAGTGTTTCCTTGTTGTAACTTTAAACCAAGAAGACACACAAAATGTATTCCTTAACTACATTGTATTCGATTGTTCCTGTAATCCGCACAGCACCTGGCGAGAAATGGCAACATATCCAGGCCATAAATTGTGCAGTCTTTTGTTTGTATCTCTTTTGTTTGTTCACGTAATGTTTAATTTCAGAGACAGGAAAATTATGAGCAAATTATCAAGAAAGAGCCTGAATGCACGTGTGACTGATGTTTACAAAATGAGAAGCTGAGAATATAATACTTCCCCTTGTCCGGGGCCAATGCAAAATTTAATGGATACTCGTAAAAAATAGTGGTGGAAATCTGTTTTGAAAATGTACTAGATACATGCAGGGCTAGAAAAAAGGTGCTCATACGCACCCAAAGTTCAGATCCAAATGTAGTCATACTTTTTTCTTTCAGAAATGACCTTGACTTCAAGGTCGACCCAGGCTGAGATGGTTACCAGATAAAGGCCTAGAAAGTAAAGGAGGCTGACCTGATGACATCAGCCACCCAGTGCTGGTCGGTCAATACAATATAGGTCTAGTGATGAATGCCTGAAGGCACGGAAAAGAGTCCTTCTTACTCACCAGGTAGTCTCTAAGAAAAAAGATGCTGGTACTCGCCCAGTGTCTTACATAACGCTGAAAAACTTGTGTTTAAAAATGGTGCCGGTACTTCACACCAACAGAAGGAAAAAAATTGAAACAAGTTGGTGGAGTTTGTTTAGCAAGTGTTGTGGATGTGTGGAAAGGTTAGGGGCAGATCTTTATATAGTGAGTGTAGTGGACATGTGGAAAGATATTGGGTAGTTATTTGTATAGTATTATGCAGTTATAAAAAAATAGTTTGCTTTTTCCTTAGGTCTGACACCAAAAGAATTGGCCAGCATCTCCTCTGACGGAAGAAAAGGATGGCTGGTCACCTCACACTTCTACTGGCTGTCCCGCACCCTGAACCAGCAACAGCTGCACACCCGCTTCTTTGTGCTGGACCCTGGCATACGGAAGGCCTCGGTGGAGAAGCTGCTGGGTGGCAAGAGTGTGTGGCAGGTCAAACAGGTCATCTTCGTCTTGAGTGTGGGCAGACAGGATGACGGCACTGTGTTTCTGAGCACCGACAAGATGCAGGGCGACCATTGGTCTGTTGCTGTTGTCGATGTGATAACCGGCAGGGTTTCTTACTGCGACACTTTGGGGTGGCCGGCACCAGAAAACTTCCTTCCAGCTGTCATTAAATACACTTACATCTTGGGTTTGCCGCATGCAGGCCGACTGTCTGTAAGAATGGCCCATAAACCAAACTCAGAGCAACACACCTGTACCCCTGAGTGCACAAACTATCCACTGCAGACGTGTTCTGATGTCTGCGGGGTTGTTGCAATGGTGTGCATTGCTACAGCTGCTTTTGACAAGAATCTTTTTGAGTTATTAATGACACCGGTCAGTAAAGATTTGAACCTTTACCTAACAGATCCAACACTATACTCATCCTACCTGCGACATGTATTGATATACTGGCTTATCTCCGGTAACATTGATATCAGCAGAATAAGCTTAAAACCTGGATTTAGCCCACACTGTCCTGAAAGTAAACCAGCTCTGAAAAGAAAACTGGAAAATGGCAACAGCTGCAACAGTCCAAAACGTCAGGTCAGAAATGTTCCTGATCTCAGGAATGATGTTACATTAAATGAGTACATCTTGGAGGCTTTGGAAACAGGAGTGTCATCTGAGACACTGCTGTCGGAAGTAAGGACACTGTTTGCAGAAGGGCAGTCTGACAGTGATAACACGATCAGTAAGTACATTGGCAATGTGACATTTAACAGTGCTATTGAGAGAAGCAAAGACGATGCTTGGAGCACAAAGTCATACATCAAGGAGCTGGTTTCATATCCAAAACACAACCCAATTATATTGTTCAAAAATATAGGAAAAGAAATGTCAACTCTGAGCCAGAATGATGCGGTGATGGCCATTCAAACACCTTTCCAAAAAGAAATGATGAAGATACATGGTAGGTCGTGTATTTGTGTGGATACCAGGCGAGTCGAAGGGGATAAGTTCTGCCTAGTCACAGTGTTAGTTTGTGTTGAAGGCTCCCTAGAATTGCCAGTTGCTTGGCTAATTACCAACAGATATGATGCCCAGGTTTTGAATCTGTTTATTAAAACTTTAAGAATTAATGTTGGTGAGCTACACACAGAAATATTTCTAGGAGATACAAATCAGAAGGTGTATAAAGTTTGGATTCAGCATTTTCCAAAACCTAACAAGACAATGTTCAACACGTGGGAGGTGCTACAAGGTTTGACAGCTAAAGTAGAGACTCTAGTTCCTGGAGTTAAGGAACAGAATGACATCAAGTGTCATTTAAATATTCTTTTAAGAGTGACAGATATCAAATCATTCAGAGGGTATTTACAGGCTTTTCTTGATGTGTTGAAGCCGTTTGAGCCATTTTTATCTTACTTCAAAACCAGGTATGTGGAGGGCAATAAAGATGTGTTTTGGGCAAGCTGCTACAGATGTGCATCAAACATGAAATACATTCCTTTTCTAACATCACATAGTACAGTCCTAAAGGAGTTGGGTTTTTCGGGTAGACACAAAATGAACAGAATGGATGTCATCATGCACAAGCTACTGCAGCTAATCAGGTTTCTTGAAAGCAAGGTTGATGTGCAGGCAAACCAAGCTCGGCTGGAGCGAGTGGTCACAGCTATAGAAAAACAGCATAACAAGCCTATGGGCAGTCTCGACATTTTTCAATCCGCATCGGGGGAGGAGTGGTACATCAGAGCTTCTCATGAAACAAATTCATACTCAATAATAGAGTCTGGCAGTGCCAGCTGCAGCTGTGAACTGAGGTGCAGAAGCTGCAAGATTTGTGTGCATCGTTACATCTGTTCCTGCTGCGAGTACCTGCTTCTGTCTAGTTCATGTAAGCACATACACATGATCAATACATACAAGAGAATGAACAGTGTTATCAACGATGCTAGTCAAGTTACATCACCCTCCGGAAGCCCAGACAAAGCCCCAGCAGAAGATGGCAAGGATGTTGAGGACCGAGACACACTGAGGGCTGAGACACAGAAACTGCTGGAACAGATGTTGCAGGCAGTCCCCAATATTACAGATGCCAAAATCCTGCAGGATATTTGTACATCTATGGGGAAATACATGCAGCAGCAGTAATCACCTCTCCCTAGTTCTGAATCAAACAGTGGTGTTTTTTAATGCTCTTAAATTGTAATTTTCCACACTGTTGTTTTAAAGAGACATTTTGGTAGTCCAGGGGCATTTTTTTTATTGTTGAGTAATTATGTCGAATACCAGCATGCAGTCGAAAGAGACTGCATAGGAAAACCTAGCAAAAGAAGAAGAAGCTTCAAGAATAGATGTAGAACAGTGGGAGGATTTTACCTGTCTATGTGCTTAGTACTGCGACAGTATTTTGTTCTTCTTCTATAAGATACTTCATCAGTTCTTTGCCATTCTGCAAGTACAGTGCAGACCTGATAAGGAAAACTCCTCAGGGACCAGAGAAATAGTTCTTCATATCAGAAATTCCTCTTATCCAGGTAAGAATTTAAGCAAGACAAGTTCTGGGTGTTAAACTAATTGCTCTTCACAACAAAAATTGGCCGCATCCTAGATTGCCAGAAGCGGTCTGCACTGTACTGAGTAGAGACCAGCACAAACCAAGGCATGTGTGAACGATAGACTGTAACACACTGCTTGTGAGGACATAGAAAGTAACATTTCTCCACAGCCAGTAGACTAGTTGGTTTAAACAACACTGGTTTTTTTCCCACATGGCTCAGTCTCCCTCTGCAACACCTTCCTGCCGAAAGCATCTTTGTTTTCCCTGTGATCTCTTCATAAACTGCACTTGTCAACCAAATGACACAAATTAACTCGTGACCTTCAGACAAAGGGGCAAATTTGACAGCTGGCAGACACGATAACTTGGATGACTTTACCGCATGGAATGGTTGGGACAAGAGCACAGAACTGATCCGTTATTCTGATACTGTGAGTTGATACACGTTTAATTCATCTACACCTCTCAACATGGCACGTGATAATGATGAAAGGCAACAACAGTTGAGACTGAAGCAGTATTCGTCAAATAAAGCAGAACAGAAACCAGCACATATCAGCAGGAGTGTTAGCCCTTTCAACCCGGAATCGCTTTTAAAAAAAAACAGGGTGTCAGAATCCTGGAAATTCCTCAGAAAAGTTCTTAAATACCCAACTATTTTACACAGATCACTAAAGTTTGTTTATATATCTGCACTTTGGTTACAGGAAAACTCCCATATACTGTGTTTGGTAAAGCCATATTGTGACCTCCTAGACCAGGCCTATTTAGCTGGCAGCCTGTGGGCCAAATCAGGCCTGCCGAATCCTAGCAAGTGGCCTGCAGATCACTGCCAGTTGGATTGTTTTAATAATCTTTCTTTGCTGGGCCTTGGGCTTCTGGCCAGTGATGATCTCGATTTTTCCAAATAGTGGCCTCTTGAGTAATCTTAGTTAAATAGCCCTGCCCTAGACAATGCACAGGCACAAACACAACCAATGACATTAACTAGACTTCTTGAGAAGGGCAACTGAAGAAGTGCCAGGTGTGATAGCTTTCCGGCCTATCAGGTGAAAGCATGGTCACAGAATTATTTAAGAGTACCTTGTCCTGCCTTTATTGATTCCATAATAGCAGAAGCTGAACATGTGTTTTAGTTGTAGAAAAGAAAAACATTTTATAAAATTTGCTTCCATAATTTAGGTTCTTAGTTGCTGGTAGTTACTTATTTTGTGTGTTGAAATCAACATAGTTAAAGCAGTTCCCCCCCCCCCCCCCCCCCCCCTTTTTTTTTCCCCGTTGTAAATTTAAATAGTGTAGACACAAACAAAAGATTACACCATTTATTCTCTGGTATATTTGGCTGTATCTCATCAGGTGTTCACTCTGCCATCTGGTGTATGTGTTTTGGTTTTTTCGTGTTCACCGGCTGTTAGCTCCAGCAGAAAATTCTGGTTTTTCCCTCAACATTTTTAGCCATGTTCCAGTACTTGAGTTTTGTGTGCACATCCGTTTTACAGATCTGACTAATTTGTATGCAGAATGTTGATTCCTTACGCCAGGCAGATACGCTTCTGAAGAAGCATCCCTAATTAGTCAACTACAACATGCTTGTTGGGGGCAGGGGGTGTATTCTTGTTTGTCCCAGAAACCACAGGGAAGTCGCTGATGTGACAAGGATCTTTTATTGTACTTCACTCTTACAGTACCAATGAGAAGACAGTCCAGCCCCAAACCATAGAGACAAGCACATTTTTACTTTATACAATTTAGATTTTTTTAAACAACTTTAAGTTTCTGTTAAAATATCAGAACTGGCCAAAATTAAGTGGCTGTATTTAATCTAAATTATTCATTTTATTTAAATGCAGTTTCCAGTGTTAAGGTAAAAATGCCTCTCTGGCAAGTGTAGGATTCACTTACAAATCCTAAATAAATATCATTCTATTTATTGAAAATAATTCAAGCAAAATGAAAGAACAGTTGTGTTTTTGTATATGTTGTCAGCATTCCTTATCTCTTATAGAATGGATTTGGAGATAAATACAAATTTGTAATGTTGAAAAAAGTAAAGATGATTACAGCATTTTAAACTGTTACTGAGATCATTTTGTTGCAGTGTGTTGTCAGCTGTAATCGATTGATTGATTGTCGCCTTTCCAGGTGATCGTGTTATATTGCGCTATGAGGAGGCATGGGATAAGCTACAATTTGTGTGTATTAAACAGGATATATTTTACGCTTGGTTTGAGCATGCTAAAGAAATCTGGCTAGAGATGCTCAAATACAGCACAGTATATTTTGTCTCTTTGAAAGTAATACACTAATGCTCTTTTGATTGTCTGTTATTTCCTATAATATTTAAAACAAAATATTCTGGGACTGGAAGAGTTGGAGATGTCTGGAAAAACATTATAGTGTATGCTAGCTTTTTTTTTTAATTGTCACAGCTTTGCTGCAGTCATCTCAGTTCAATAGTAATTACAGTGCAGACCGGTTAAGGTGATGTCTGTTGTGAAGAAAAGTTTATCCCTAGCAATTTTTCTTGCTTGAATTTTTATCTGGATAAGAGAAATTTCTGGTAGAAGAAACCATTTCTTGGATATCCTGTGAATTCTCCTTATCAGGTCTGTGGTGTATATATAAACTCAGTACCAGAGGGTTTGCCTGGTTAAAGAAATGAGTTTGTGTGTATGTTTAGTCCTTGCATATATTACTATGGTAGGTGTGTTCAACAGTGGGTATCTCAGTATTTATTGTAAAGTTGTTTTTTTAATACAGGTGTCATTTGCTTTACCTGTACACTTGTTCTTACCATAAACCGTATTATTTGAATGTAATATTTTCTTTTGTTATCATATGTGATTAAGCATCATGCATTTATGAAAGTTGGGTGGAGAGCGTTTATAGTGCAGTAGATGTAAAGGTGTGTAATAGAATCACTGATGTAGAGCTTTGTGATTAGTGGAGGATTATCATCACAACACACTAAAAAGTTCTGTAGATGCTTTGATCTTCTTCTCAATAGCTCCACAAGTGTATAACTACTGATGATGCCCATTCTGTGTTGATTAATCATATGTCCTGTGCCCTTGGTGAAATGTTTGTCTGGCTGCTTCAGGTTGCATCCTCTTGTTAACCCAGCCTGGACAAGGATATTGTTTCTTGCTTGTTTTTGTGATCTTCTTCGCAGTATTATGCACCTCATATGGGGTCGCTCCGGTCCGGTACCTGGTGGTAGTAGTGGTAACTGTCTTGTCTACCAGATGACTTTATACTCATGGTGTTGCTCCTGTCTGGTACCAGGCTGGTAGTGATAACCTTGTCTACCAGATGAGCGCATGCTCATTGCCTTAAAAATCTGCGTAAGATGAGATAAAGGTTAGGCGAGTTATTTGTATTCATGATACACTTACTGTAGAGCTATGAGAGAGAACTAAAGATGTTCTGGTGAATCAAGAGGTGAGGAAAGAATGCTGGCAGTGGATGGGACACAGATTTAGAAAACCTGAGTACAATCTAACTAGAATGTCTTTACAATGAAAACCACAGGGTCTTAGAAATAATGGTAGACCAGGAAACTAGAGAATGCAGTTAAAAAAAGATAAGGAGGGCTTTGAGGTTAGTAGAATGCATTTGAAAAAGACGTGTGGAAAAATGTCAAGCACCGTAGTCAGGCACATCTCAGGATGTCAACCTGGACACTGGTTTTAGTTAGTTAGCATCCTTGTTCCCTGCGTGGGCCCAACAAGCATGTCGTAGAAGGCGTTTTCAGGAGTGATTTCTTCAAAGTCGAAATGCACCTTCCCGAGAAGCCAGGTACCAACAGTCTACATAACAATAAGTCAGATCTGTAAACAGGACGTGCACTCAGATTCTGGAACAAGACCAAACTCCAGAAGTGGACAAACAGCCTAGACTTTCCACTGGAGTTTACTGCTGGTGAACGCTAAGAATTATCATAAGTCAGAACGTCTTGTAGGTCATGACACAATGTTCATTCCTGAGTGAGAAACAAGATTGACCAATAAATAAGTGTTTAGTGGTAAACAGCAGAGGCATACAGATGTGATATATATTCTCAGGACACTATTAGAACCAACTGTTTGCCTCTGCCTTCCACATCGAAAAAGTTGGCACCTTCCCATCCCTCTAGACCAGCGGTTCTCAACCTGTGGGCCGCATCCTTTTTTTTTAAAGGTCGATGACCCTTTCTTAGGGATTGCCTAAAACCATCAGAAAACACATATTCATTGAAGTTATGAAGCAATAACGAAAATAATTATATGTTTGGGGGTTGCCACAACATGAGGAACTGTGTTAAAGGGTCGCAGCATTGGGAAGGTTGAGAACCAGTGTTCGGCGCTTCTTTGATCGATTCCCCAAAATGGCGGCATGCCACATTCTGGCCATAAAATATCCAAAATTATCCGAATGACGGTGTTCCCGTATATCTAAAATACGGAATGTCTGCCAAGGGACAAATCGCGGCAAAACTAGGATTACTTGACAATCACTATCAACATTGCACACGGTACTAGTAGCAGACGATAAATACCGATCGCTGACAAAAATTTCGAGCGTTTCTGCGACGGCGATACTAGCAGACGAT